GTGGACCCTTCCGTTCTCCTTTTGGCCTGATAATCACCAACTTCTATCAACTTCTTTAGAGTTTACCAGCTTCAGAAACCTTAATTTGCATTAAAAAGTGGCATCTGGAATAAGATAATTGGTGATTAAAACCCATATGAATTTAGGAATGTAAAAATTAAAAGCAAAAGTAAAAAGGATTCAGTGTCTTGCCCTGCCAGAAAGCACTGTGTTGTGGGCAGCCGCTTTACCTACCGGAGTCAGGTTCTTCATCTCTAAGTTGGAAATAACTTCTCCCTTACCTATTCACAAGGGTATAGGGAAAAGCATTTTATAGTCTTTGGGAATATACACAAATGTAAGATAACATTAGGGCAAGCTTCTACCTTTTAAATGTCTTCTGTGTCATGGGGAAAAGAAATGTATATTATGGGTGATGTTGGATTCGAGCTTGTGAAGGAAGTTACTTTGGGATGTAATATTTCAATTACAGTATTTTAATGTGAATTTATTCTTACTGTTCCAAAATACAGTTCACTTTTCTTCTAACAATCTCTGTGCTACATTTAGATTTATTATTTATATCTTCCTAGTTCCCACACTGTTCTTCTCTGTTACTTCATTCCTCCCCCAAATATAAGGGCAAAGAGTTGGGACTCTCCCGATCCTGTTTACAGCCCTGTTTTGATGACCAGGCTGGAACAAGGGTAGCTTAGTGAGCTCACCTCCCACTAACTCATTATTGCCACAATGGCTGCAGATTGGTTCCCATCATGTGTGAAGTGCTGTGGGAAAGCAAAAGCTCAGGCTGTCTCTGCTCTTCTCCATGTGACCTGCCAATCACCACGTAGTCTGACTGTGTCCTCAATCTATCTCAAATCAATCCTTTAGCATAAAACAGAATATTTGTGGTCCTGAATCATACATGGAAATATCCAACTAGCTGGACTCTTCTCTTCATCATGTGCTCCCACCCCCTACCATCCTGCCTACCCAGTCTCTCCTTTACTCGCCATGCTGGAGCCACCTTGACAAAATCTAAATCTGAACACCTCAATTCCCTGCTTAAATGTTGGATGGCACCCGGTCTCCTGGGGGAAAGCCTGTCCTGTCCAGATATGACAACTGAGGCTTCCTATATCTGACACCTGTTCACCTCCCCAACATCTCCATGCACGCTTGTGCTCAGTGTTGCTGAGCAATCCCCAATTCCCAAGTGCACCTAATACACTTTTTAAAATTCCATGTTTGTTCATGATTCCTTCTAACTATAATTGCCCTGAGTTCACTCTTTTCTGTCTGGAAAATTCCTATTCATCCTTTAAAACTGTTCCAGAGTCACCCATTCTTGATGCCTTCTCTATCTAGCAGTACAGATCTAGAAATAAACTTCATTATTTACCAGTATATGCTTTCATTATTGTATGTACTACACCATATTATAATTATGTTAACATAATTTGTTTCATCTTCTAGACTACTAGTTTCTTAAGGGAAAGGATCATGTCTTATCAATCTTGGGATCTCGAAAAACTAGCAGAGTGTCTGATGAATTATAGCTACATTACAAATACTTCTTAAGGAAATGAGTGGAGAGATTCTCTTCAGTGAAAACAACACACACCCTGTATAGTTCATAGGACTGAGCTCCAGTAAATATCTGATCATCACTTATTTACTCCTGTTAGTTTTTTTGTGTATGTTTTTGTTTTGTTTTTTGCTCTTTTGACATTTATGTAACCTTCCGGTCAATTCTAAGGTTGCAAGTATCTCATCTACATGAAGGAGCAACAGAAACTAACGAGTTAGGCCTGTTGGTGAGCCACATCCTGTGACATCATATTATCACAGATGGGTTATTTTCCCCTTCATCTCCTCCATAGGACTTGGGGCAGCTACAGTTACACAGAAATTCATAAAAAGCCAAGCTTAACAATTTCAGAAGCAAAATTACTCTGTAAAAGCCCTCCCTTCTTCCCCTATTGACAGCGTTGCTCTTCCCTTTTCCTAAAGGAATGAGAACGTGGTCGGGCATTATGTGTCTCAAGTTAAATTGGAAGCCAAGGTGCCCACAGTGATGCTCCTCGCCTGTTGAGACCCATGAGCTTGCTTTGCTCACGAGTCCTGCTATTGAATCAGTGTAACCTGTAAACTAGCATGCCCCTCCTTTTTCACTACTATGACTGTCATTAATAGGTCATAATACTCATGAGACTTATAAGTAATACTCATAATACTCACGTCATTAATACTCATGAGAATGCGTATTCTGAATTTTACCTAACGGTGATGCCCCCCAAGTGATGCGGGGGGTAAAGTGAGAAGTATGTAATTTTTCCTTTTATATTCATAATTATATTCTGTGCTTTCTATTATTTCACACCACTGAGTTTTTCCTTCTTTTCTTGATACTGTAGACATCTAACTGAGCAGTGAGAATTAATACCTGTTGTGCAGCTAATGATGGCTTTTCTATGAGTTAATTAGCCAAAAAATGGTGATGAATAGACAGAAAGATGACATTGGTGTAGTTTGCATTTATTTCAACTTCTGTTTCATAAGACAAGGTTTGGCTTTAAAATATATGGCTCTAGATCATAAAAATATAAATTAGCTTCTCTCATTTCAAATAATAATTAATTTCTGAAGTTAGTACAAACTGAACTCTTTTATAAGTCAGTTTTTGAAAATGTAATTGAAAGTCCACTTCACAGAAAGCATACTTAACTCTTACTTTTCTTTCCACTCTTTCTGTTTTATTTCTTTTTTTAACTAAATATACATCGCATTTGTTGACTGGATTTTGCTGGGCACTGTGAAGAATTTAGAATTCTTGAGTTTGCTTCTCTCAAAAACCTTAAAGAGAGACACACAAAACGTTAACTAGAAAAAGAGATGTAACAATCAGTACCAACCAAGCAGTGCAGACTGAAGCCCTGGGAGTTCAGAAGCCCGTCTTTTCCTCCCTGACATTTTCAGTCAGAGCTTTCCAACCTGCCATCCTTTGTGGTTTATTTTCAACGTTTTTTTTCATCTTGTTCCAATATTTAGACAGATGGAGGAACATATCATTGGTTCTCTCCCCTGTCTTTTTTTTTTTTACTCTACTTTTGATCCTCTTGAAATAAAAATTGGGAGCTAAATCCACATTATTTTGTGATGTCAGATTCTTATCTGCCCTCTTCCTCTGGAGTAAAAAAGATAGAGTTATGTGAATCAGGAAGGCCATGTTTTTCTCCAGATCTCTAGATATCAATCATATCTGCATAATTAAAATCTTATAAAAAGAAAGTATTTGATCATGTTCATCAGTGAGTCGTTACCAAAGCTTCATTAGTAACTCTGTTCCTTTCTGGTTATTGTTTAATCTGACCCTGGTTCAATTACCATGCATTGTGAATGGGTACACACTTCTCTTACACGGATCAGCCTCTGTAAACCGAGGCTGATCCATGCCCTTCTTTCCTTCTCTGACAATAGGCCAATGATCCTTGAATCAAAAGGAACTAGTGAGGCTGTTTGACTGACATCACACTGGTTTTCGCCACCAGTTTTTCCCTTTACTCTCAGATGAGTCATTTTGTACAGAGCACTCTAACCTTTCGATCTGCCTTCTGCAAGTAGTTCTGCTCCATTTATCCCCAGGTAATCAACCTCTCTCAATTTCATATACCTTTCTTTTCATTTCTATAGCTATAGTTACTTCATGGTGCTTTTAGGCTTTGGTAGCTGCTCCACTGGAGTGTAAGCACCTGGAGGGTGGGAGCTGTGATTAGATCCATGTTTTATGACCAGAGCTTCGCTTGGGGTCAGGAGTACGAAAGGTACTCAGTAAAGATTTGTTAAGCTCAGCATTGAGAGGAAGGCATAGCCAGCTATGGAGGCTCAGAGAAAAGGCACCAAACCCAGCCAATCATAGGGAATTTGAGGGGATTTCAGAGGAAGATACACCTAAATTGAGACCTGAAGGGTAACTGTATAAGTTAGCTAAGCATAGGGAGACCCAGGCAATCCAGGCCAAAAAAAATAGCATGGACAAAGAACCATATTGAAAAAGAGCAGGCTCTAGTGAAAGACAGGCAAAAAAAGATCAGCTATGCCTTATATCTACCATGCCCAAGAATCAAAATATAATGGGACAAATCTAAATGTATGCACGTACCTGTATATATGAAACTTTAGTTTTTAAAAGCTTAATTAGGTATAATAAAAAATAAACTCCATCAACCTGTAAAACCTTGAACATTTAGCCCAAGCCCTCTGTCAGACTAAGCAACATTTCCTTTAACTTTCTCATTACTTTCTTTTTCCTCAAGTGACATTTTTTGTATTTTTTTCATTCTCCATTTTACGTATTGGTATTTTTAAGATAGTTCCACTGCAGATAGTATTTTTATTTGCATGGAGAGCTGTGAACCTAACCCCATGCATGAAATTATGTATAGAAAACTGTTGTGCGTTCCAAACACTCAACTTAGAAGTAAACATTTAGAAAATAACCTGCTTCTAAATTGATGTTTTGGGTGCACAAGGGACAATTTGCAGCAGAATGTGGTTGAAGGCATACCAGTCATGGAGTTCAAATGTCTGTGCCTTTCACTTCACTAAGTTCATGAGACTTTCAATCTCATCATTTGTTAAATGGGATGCATTATGTCTGCTTTATATTCTTCATAGAAACTCTCAAAATTAAAAAAGAATCTATATATGTAAAAATGAATCACCTAACAGACTCTGAATGGTTGTGTTCAGTTGTAATACAAGATGATTTGCTACTGTGAATATTTTTGTTTTAGAAAGTAAAACATATATCCCCCCCTTAACCAACTTCAACTACATTATATAGGGGAAAATATGTACAGCAATTTAAGTTAATAAAAGTAGAACTGTAGTTTTAAAACAGTGTTAAATAGCTTATCTCTGTGTTTATGGCATAGCTGCAGCAAATGTGTTTACATAGATATGACTGTTTGCCTCATTAGCAGGAGGGTAATCTGCAATGTACCCATTTTGTCTCACAGAATGATTGAAGATAGTGGGAAAAGAGGAAATACTATGGCAGAAAGAAGACAGCTGTTTGCAGAGATGAGTAAGTATGGAACTTTTCAGGAAAACCCCACAGTGTCCACTGAATGCGCGTGAAGTCCTATGACCTGTGTACTTATATTAGAGTCCTAAATTTCTTGCATAAAGTGTAAACTTGGGCATTTTTGCCTCCTATAAAATAAATTAGTGAAGCATTGTAATTTGTTAGTACACTGTGTATTTTATCTTAAAACAATTTCCATGGGCTTAAATATATATATATACACGTACACACAGACAACTTTATAAACACTATTTAGTATTGGTATTAATACAGTCCACTAAACTTTAAAGTCTGTGGTCATCTCTCTATGCTATCCCAGTGTCCAGCATATTGTAGGCTTTGACATTGATAGTAGCTGTGCAATGAATTCTTGAATGTCTTACCTACAAAATGATATCATATGTTTATATGGAAAAGAGGAGTCAGGATGATTACCAGACCAAACTCTAAGCTGTCATTTAGACTTTGAGCAGAATGGAAGAATCTGTGTTACAAACCAGAGGTTAAAAAATTAAACAAAACAAAAGAAATTAAACTTAAGTTAAAAAGAGCTCAGAGGTCACCTGTCAGTGAAGGAAACCAAACCGAGACTGACTCCAGTGGAGAACATTTTAAATAAGGCTACTGGTTTATGTAAATACACAGTTGCTGTGTGAATAATTGGTTGGTAGTGGCTCCCTTACAGACCAGTTTCTTATTAATGAGGGAGAAGAACTGGAGATTGGGAGGAAAACACACATCTCAAATTAAATGTTATAAGGAAAAGAGTCCAATCCTCTTAGTGTCTTTTTATCTCTTTTTCCCTGTATAAGAATGGAGATGAGCAGAAGTGAGTTGAAAGCCTTTTTCTCTGCGAAGTCCGTAGACAAAATTAGGTTTCCACTGAATATTACAACTGATTGTCAAGAATGAGGGTTAGCACAGATAAACGAAAAGTCCTAGATAATAAGATTCATATTTTCCTTTATCATTTCCCAATAATCTGGTGGCACCAAGTCAGTGCTAGAACTAACAAAGAGGAAAAAAATTAAACTTGATGTGGGAAATCTCAATCATGCTCCTTGCATTTTTCACTTTTAGAAACATGTCTAGCCCAGGCTGGTGTAGTTCAGTAGACTGGGTGCTGGCCTGCAAACCAAAGGGTCACCAGTTCAATTCCCAGTCAGGGCACATGCCTAGGTTATGGTCCAGGTCCCCAGTAAGGGGCATGCAAGAGGCAACCACAGACTGATGTTTCTCTCCCTCTCTTTCTACCTCTCTAAAAATAAATAAATGAAATCTTCAAGGAAGGAAGGAAGGGAAGAAAGAAAGGAAGGAAGGAAGTGCCTGTGATGGTTTTAGCCATGACCTTCCAATTTCCTAGGCCATATTTGGTACTGTGTCTTCATTCTGTCATGGCCACACACCTGGAATTATAACCTTGTTGATGCAAATCTAACAGAAAAAGGAACCTCATCACTACCTGCCCATCATAAAATATAAAGCAGAAATATAAACAAAATATAAAGCAGAACAGATATCTTTCCATATCATAAGTTCTTAGACTAGAAAGGCAAGAGCCACGTACATCATAGACCAGTGTTTCAACAAAAAAAAAAGAAAAAATATTTAACATAAAAAGCAGTAAAGTCTTAGTGGAAATGTTGGAATTTATCATTGCTACATTAAAGACTATATCAGCTAACACACTTAAGAATTATAAAACTGTGATTATTTAATAATCCTTAAATACTTATCTGAGTTTAAGGACATCATCCGTGACACAGTGCCTAGCACAGACAAATACATATGTCACGCATGCTTTTTTAATTAATGTTGTCAAGTCACAGAAAGATCAACATAAGTTTTATAGCCACAGATGGAGAGAGCTCTAAATTTTTCAAGTTAGAGAGACTTAGGAAAATTATGTGTTCCTTTTCCAAATTGTAACTTTATTTTTATAGGAACTTCTTAAGGTTGTTTCGTACTTTATTAAATCATGTTATAAGTTCTCCTGATTAATGAGTAGTTAAAAGCACACAAATATGTGTCTTTCTTTCTTGAGTAATAAGCTGTGATTTGGGCCAAAAACAGGCAAACACATCTGATCTTGACAATCTATTAGTGAGCATCATGCTCAAACCAACACCAAGTAAAACGTGTCCACAGTAAGTAGGGTTCTCCCAGATAAAACAATTGGCTGGTTTCGAGAGGAGAAATTGATTTTGATAGATAGACTGTCACACAGAAGAGAAAGGCAGTCTCATTGAGAATGTGTTACATAGTTGAGAAATACATGGGTCACCTCAGCTCTACCAGCAGAGCTTCCCCAGAAAGACAAGGAAACTATTTTCGGAGAAGACTGACATAGAGACCGGGCAAGTAACTTCTCCAGAGAATTCTCACGTCTAGAGAAGGAGTATAAAAAGGAGGAACTTGTAAGTCTGGTCAACTAAGCATTCTCTAGAAATATTTTTGCTCAAAAACAGCAAAACAAAGTACCAAAAAGATTCTTTGTTTTGGAAATTACAAATGTCAAAGAAAAATGGCATATGCAGGAGTTAGGAAGGCAAGGAAGACTTTATTCAAGACTACTGCAATGCGGGAGAGAAGGTAAACCAAATCCGCAGGAACAAAAGGCAGGAGAGTGTTTGGGGACTGGGGTGAGCTGATGTAGAAGTACTGAAGGATATTAGTGGGAAGCCAGTCAACTGTGTCTGCTAGTTGTCACAAATAGAAAGTTAGGTCTCTACCCTCCCACAGAGATTGGGAGAGCTCCTTCAGTTATTACATTTCAAATGGATGACTCCCATGTTCTTGAGAAAGGTATTCCTGGGCTGTAAAACTGGCCAAAAGTTGGGAGATTTATAGCTCAATGGGGCAGATAAAGAATTCACAGTAGAAAGTTTTCTGAAGTCAATGCTCTAACAAAAGGCAGTTCAGAGGCCCTGAGTCAGGAAGAAACCTGACTCAAGTTTAGTCAAACTGAGGGGAACATTAAGGCATATTTAACTTTATAAAGGCCAAGAACAGAAATAACAATACGAAGAACAACAGATAAGCGGTTTTTGCAAATTCAGGTGATTGGCACACATGTGCATTAAACATTTACGCTGAGCTTATAACCACAAAGCAGATAGTAGAAACAGCACAGAAATGAAATGAAGAGTAACACAGACTCACAAATACGCAGAAGACTAGCCTCATATACAGAACAACAACAACAGTGGCAACTCCATGCCTACCCACCCTACCCTCTGATTAAACAAATTCTGGGCAAGTTGCCCTTAACCAAAGAGTACCTTCAGTATAAAGTCCTCATTATCGGTTTATCTAGCACTTAGATTAAAGCTGAAAAGACTGGTTAAATGTAAATGACATCCTCACCTTGGCCTTTCCAGTCATTGAACAAATTTATCTGCTCAAACAAGTTTACCACACTGATTTTAGCAGAATAAATAGTTTGTTCTTGGAATTAAACTCACCTCCTCTGTTTTCCTGCTCTCAACACATACGAACTTGTGGACATATCCATGTCACTCACTGTCATGAACTCCTCCTGAGGGACAGACCCTAGACCTCACCTTCAAACCCATTTACCTCAGATGCTGAGTCAGTGTTGGTTTAAAAGGCTCCAGGGCACAGGATAGGTAGGTTTTAATGAGAGGAAAATGGTTGGAAAACACTCTTTCATAATTTGGAAGGCTGCCCGACAGGCAGAGAATGGTCTTGGGGAGAAAGCAGAGTGGCCTCTCAGTGAAGGGGGGACCAGAAATCAAAGGAAGCAAATGCAGGTACTCAGCAAGCGCTGTTGGATGGTTCGAAGGCAGACTCTCCTCAGAACGTGTACTGTAGTCAGCTGGTAAACAGTTGGAATGGAACCCAGACCGTGGTTTTGCAATGCACACTATGCGTTTTAGGAAAACTGACCTCAAAGATTCAGAAAGATTACCTGAATGGTCCCACGCCCACAGGCCACAGTGGGTACAGTGACTATTTTTACTTGCTTCTTCATCTCTTATGCTTTTCAGCCTCTTTAAGTTGTTAACACCATGGGTCACTATCCTGCAAATTCTCTCTTCTGTCACCACCCACCTAGTCTGGTCCTTTGCTTTTTCTGCCCACTCTACTTTGTTGTTTTTTGTGTGTTTGCTTTTGTTTTTGTTTTTGTTGTTTTGGTTCTTCATATCCTCCAAACCCCCTGAAGTCAGATTTTACCGAAGTTTTGTTCTTGACCAATTATCTTGATGTACACTTTGACTTTCCCTCAAGGCTTCACCATCATTATGGCTCTCAAGCGTCCAAGAGTTCCTTTAAAACTGCCTCTGATATGCTCATGAAAAAGTCAGCACATAAACTCAATCTATGTCCCTTCCAACCTTGCTTCCTCACTGTCAAAAAAGATGGAATTTGAATAAATGAATAAGAAAGTGAAGCCAGAAGCCCTGGCTGGTGTAGCTCAGTGGATTGAGTGCAGGCCTGCGAACCAGATGATCACAGTTCGATTCCCAATCAGGGCACATACCCGGGTTGCAGGCCGGTTCCCTGCAGGCCAGTTCCCAGCAGGGGATGCATGAAAGGCAACCATACATTGATGTTTCTCTCCCTCTCTCCTTCCCTTCCCCTCTAAAGATAAATAAATAAAATCTTAAAAAAAAAAAAAAAAAAAGAAAGTGAAGCCAGTAGAACAACTCTTATTCCTAGAATGGTGAAATGTCTAGGGTTACCTTCATTTCTGTTCATAATCTGGGAAAAAACGATTTCATCAGGAAACCTGCTTCAAATTCACCCCCTAAGACTCCCAAGAATCTATATTCTCCTCTTTAGGTAAAAATGAGTACAGCCTTTCCCTTTTATTTTTTGCAATGTTCTCTTCATTATTTCTCAAAATCATGGATAGCGGTTTTTCCATTATTATCATAATACTTGTATATAATTATTTAAAACATGAAGGTTCAACTCATTTAAATAATACCTGAGATTTGCTTCATAATTAAACAGTAAAGGCTGAGGATAAATAT